CGAGAGCTCCATCGGTCGACCGCACCGGTCGACCGAAGATGTCAGCTTGTGGTTTCTCGTTTTCGACCTGGATAACGGTCGACCGAATTTTGGTCCGGTCGACCGAGAGCTCAAATCGGTCGACCGACAGAATTTCCGGTCGACCGACGATGGCTTTTACTGTTTCCAACGGCTAGTTTTTGTACCGTTGGCTGGGTCTTTTGGTCTTTTGTTTTGGGTGTTTTTGGCTGAGCTTTGAGTGGGTATATATACCCCATTGCTGATGTCTTTTCAAAGTAGTTAAGAGAGTTTTTTAATCAAGTTTAATAAAGTTTTTAACAAGGGTTTTAGTTTGGTTTAAGTGTGTTTAAAAAGCTTTTAAGCAAATTGAGAGTTTGTTTTTGTGATTCAATTCTACAAGAGCTTGAGGAGATCATCTATTGGTGTTTGGGCATTCAACTATTCTCCCTCCAACTCTTGATATATTGAGAAGTTTTCTAAACTCTATTTCTAGCTTTTTTATATATTTGATTATCATTGTTATTAAGCTAGAACTACATTGAGTTTAGTTTTGATTTATATCTCTTTGTTCACACACAACCTTTTGAGCTTATTGTATTTACATTCATAGTATAATTTAGGGTTGTGGGTTTGTGACATTGAGAGTGAGCTTAATTGAGTTCTCACCTTGTTTTGAGAACAATCATTTGTCATATTTGTGCTTATTGTGAGAATCACTTTGTAATACACTTGTACACCGAGTGAGGAGTGTGTGGTGAGAGTCGGGGATCGTCCCAAGAGGAGTGGCGTCGGTTGACGTGCCTAGGGAGAGGTTGTAACCGAGCACTTGAGGGAGACACGGCTAGGTCCAACACTTAGTGGGTGTAGAGTGTGATTGCAAGAGTGTGAGTTGTAGAGTTTTCGGTTAGCTAGAAAACCGAGTGTGTAGAAGAAGTTCCGGCTTCCAAACCGGATTGTGTTAGTGGATTTCTCCCCGGGAGTGGGGAGCGGAGACGTGGGACGGAAGGTCCGAACTCCGTGATCATATTGCTTGTTTGAGTGTGCTTTGGCGTTCATTCATATTTATGTTCATATCTTATATCGCCATTGTCATTAGCTCATTATCTATATCATCCACTATCTTATTTAGATTGTTTTCCCCTTGTGTTAGTTTATATATATCCTTGCATCATATAGGATATATCTATTTGTTGTTCATATTGCTTATCCTAGCTTACATATCTTGTTATATTTCACTCTTGCTAGGATAACTTGTTAATTAATTTTTAATTGGCATTTAAATCGGATTAGATTAGCATAAGACCCTAATCACCCCCCCCCCTCTAGGGTCTAACAGGAAGGTGTTAGTGGGATGCCAATTGACTATCACGAAGGATTTGGAAGAATAAAGGATGTTAGATATCGATGTGCACCATCTTCTTCCAAAACCATTGGCTCTAAGCAGAGAGAGGAGGAAATCCCACCTAACACAATCAAAAGATTTGCTGAGTCGACCTTGAGGATGTAGGCTCCCACTTTTTTTAAAAAGCAGTAGTGCAGCATCTCATGACCGAAGACAATGGAGTCAATGATAGATTTGCCCGATTGAAACGCAGAATGAGAGTTGTCTATGATGGAAGACAGAAGGGGAGCTAGCCTATTTGCTAGGACTTTGGTGAAGATTTTGACAATGCCATTGATAAGGCTGATGGACCTAAAATCTGAGAGGTGGCAGGGGGAGTCTGATTTGGGAGTAAGAGAGATGTGGGAGATGTTGACTTTGTGGAGGGAGGATGCATCATTGTAGAGATGATGGAAGAAGGCTATAAGGTCATCTTTGATGGTATCCCAGAAGGTTTGATAAAAGAGTATAGGGAAGCCATCTGGACCGGGAGCTTTCTCAGGATGAAGGCCAAAGACGGTTGCTTTGATCTCGTCCGTTGAGAAGGGGGAGTCCATGTTGCTAAGGTCTACATAGGGGGATGGGTATAGATAGTTCGAGTCTACTTGGAATAGGGATGGGGATGGCCTTGAAGTTGTTGGAAAAATGCTGAAAGAATGCTAGTTGTTTATCATTTTCTAATGAGATGACGGTTGAGTCAATTGTCAGGTTCGGAATGAGGTTTTTTCTTTTATGAATTGATTTCATGATGTTGCTTTGCAGAACTTTCTTTTATGACCAAATATATATTTTCCTTCGCTTTATGTTTTTGATCTTACTGTATTTTATCCTACTTTAGCTAGTTCACTGTTATGGAGGGAGTTTTGAAGGAGGAAAGCTGTAGAGTTATATATGTGGCTTATGTTTTGTATTATTGTGTCTTTTTAGTCTCTTTAAATATTTTTTATTTAACCATTACTTTTTCTTGATTTTGACGCAGACTTCTTTTCCACAAGGAATTCCAACAAGTAAAGATTGGAGTCAGCTTGAGGTTCTAAATAAAGTTCAAAATTAGAAGCATTTTAGTGTTGTAGTGAGTCATTACTTGCTTCTTAAAAACTTAATATAGTTTTATAAACAAACATAATTCTTCCGTGCTTGCTGCGGTATTAGCGTGAACAGAATTAAAAATAATGGTTTGATTATTTGGTTTGGAATTTCTTAATTTATGGATAAAACTATTTTTTCTCGGTTGTATCGCTAATAAACTAATAAGAAAGAATATAAAAGTTAGAGATGCTTTTTGAATAATGTTGCCCAAAACAAAAGTACAACTGAGGGTGAATTCAGGGGCTTTTTGAAGATCAGAGCCAGGAAGGGCTATCTAAGGGCCGACCATTTAGAGGGGGTTTTCCTAAAATTTACCCATATCTTTTCCTATTTTACCTTATTTGCACTTTGGCACCCCTAAAGTGTAGCAATATTTTTATTTTGATATCTCAAAGTATCTTCTTAACACTTTGAAACTCCAAATTTTGATACTCCAAAGTGTAAATCCCATTTCACTTTAATACCCCAAGATATTTCTTTGACATTTTGATAACCCAAAGTTTCAATTAAGTTGCATGTTCATACCCCCTATCCATATTATGTTAGATTCCTACTAAATTTATACTACATCCTTAACTGAGTGAACCCTTCTGATTGCTGCATGTATATTTCTTCCTCTAGGTCACCGTGAAGGAAGGTTGTCTTCACATCTAACTGCTTGAGATGTAGATATTTAGCTACAACAATACTCAGAACAGATCTAATAGTAGTCAATTTGACTACAGGAGAGAAGATTTATGCGTAATCAATTCCTTCTTTTTGCTGAAATCATTTGACCACCAATCTTGCTTTGTATCTTTTGCAACCATCTTGTTCCTCCTTGATTCTAGCTTCCGTGGGCTGCAAAAGCAGCGAAAAGACATATCAGGTAGGCTTAAATTAAATTAGGTGAAGAAATTAACAACATGATGGTGATTTATTTAATTGAGGAAGTGGACCTTAAAACTCAAAAGAACTGAATGTAACAAAAGAATCCACATAGCTGAGCCCTCAAATTTCGTAAAGAAGATTTGTTGTTTTAGCAAAACCCACCTTAAGCAACACCTTCCAAATAACTACTTCCTTTGATAAGCAACCAAATCTATCAAAGTACACTGAAACAATCTTCTATCAAAGTACACTGAAAGCAATGCCAAACACACCCTAAGCAGTTGTTTCCCAAGGAAAGTAATATTAATAAGCAATTTTTGCGTTCTTTGCAGTCGAATTACGATATCTACAAGTTGCATGTAAAACTCCAAACCTGTGGCTATGTGCAATGTCATCTGCCTCTGCTGGGTAAGTTCCTTCTGTTAGTTTGGGGGTGGATACCAACCTCCATGTCCGGCGAGGAGCTCCGACGAGCTCTGAGATGATGCAGGCGAGCGTGGCGAAGTCGACGGCGACCCCCCAGGCGAGCTCGAGCCCCGCGAGCGAAAACTCCCTTGACCTCGGTGTCGGATCCGACGTTCGACCTCGGCGTTTGTTCGACCTCTGCGTTCGGCTCGAAGTTGGCGTCGAAGCGGTCGCTGGCGACAGGCTGTCGCCAGCCCATCCCCTCTCCCTATAAAACCCCCTCCCCAGGCTAGGGTTTTGAAGATGCTGAGCCTTCCCCCTCTCTCCGATTTTTCTTCCCAGGCGGCGGCGGAAAACCCCCAAATCGCAGCTGCGATTTTGTGCTTAAATCCCAACACTCAACAGTGGTTGAGGGGATTAAAGAAGAGAGAGAAATAAAGATTTAAAGAGGGGTTTTAATTGTGGGGTATTTATTCTCAAGTGAGAATTGAAAGGGTTCACACCCTTTGATTTTTAACACTGTAGCTACAGTGTTTATTTGAGAAATCTCAGTTTTGAGATCCGCTCCTAAATTGTAATTTCTTGTTTGATTAATAAGAAATTATATGTGTGGCTCCCGAGGACGTAGGCAGTTGCCGAAACTCGTTAAATCTTGGTGTACTTTTTCTATACCGTGTTTCTGTTGCATTAGGGGTTTTAGCGTTTAATTCCCAACAACTGGTATCAGAGCGTGAAACGATCTAGAACAAGTCAGATTTAAGTGGGAGCTTGAGAAATTTGATGGAACAGATTTTGGATTCTGGAAAATGCAGATAGAGGATTATCTGTATCAGAAAAATCTGTATCAACCACTATCGGGGAAGAAGCCAGATTCTATGAAGGAAGAAGAGTGGAACCTTCTAGATAGACAAGCCCTCGGAGTTATCAGATTGACGTTGACTCGCAATGTTGCGTTCAACATAGCGAAGGAGAAGACCACGACAGGTCTTATGGCAGCACTTTCAAACATGTATGAGAAGCCATCAGCCACGAACAAAGTTCATTTGATGTGGCAGTTATTCAATCTGAAAATGGCGGAAGGCGCGTCAGTAGCACAACACCTCAATGAACTTAATACGGTTACAACCCAATTGAGTTCAGTTGAGATTGAGTTTGATGAGGAAGTTCGGGCGTTGATACTTTTGTCTTCCCTACCAGAGAGTTGGAACGCTACAGTCACGGCAGTGAGTAGCTCATCGGGAAAGAAAAAGTTGAAGTTCGGCGACGTTCGTGATTTGGTTCTCAGTGAGGAGATCCGACGGAGAGAAACGGGTGAAGCTACAACCTCTTCAGTATTGCATACAGAGTCAAGAGGTAGAAATTCAACCAGAGGAAACGGACGAGGAAAATCAAACTTCAGAGGTAGATCAAAGGACAGGAGGTCCAAATCAAGGAATCCAAGCAACAGCTCGAAGGCTATCGAGTGTTGGAATTGTGGAAAGACCGGGCATTACAAGAATCAGTGCAAGAGTGCACAGAAAGAGAAGGAGGCGAAGGCAGAGGTGAATGTCACTTCCACTTCAGGAGGAGACGACGCATTGATATGCTCTTTGGAGAGCAAGGAGGAATCTTGGGTGTTAGATTCAGGAGCGTCGTTCCATGCTACCTCTCAGAAAGAATTCTTCGAGAAGTATACCCTCGGAAAACTTGGATACGTATATCTTGGTGATGATCAACCATGTGCTATAGTGGGCAAAGGCGTGGTAAAAATTAAGTTGAACGGGTCAGTATGGGAGCTGAAGGATGTCAGGTATATTCCCGACCTGAGAAAGAATTTAATATCCGTAGGCAAGTTGGCTGGCGAATGATATACCACGACCTTCCATGAAGATGATTGGAAGATCTCAAAGGGCGCAATGACGATTGCCCGAGGCAGGAAGACTGGTACCCTATATATGACAGCAGGTGCACGTTGTTCGATCTCAGTTGCAGCAAGCAATGAGACTTCAAAGCTGTGGCACCAGAGACTCGGTCATATGAGTGAGAAGGGGATGAAAATCATGCACACAAAGGGGAAACTCCCAGGACTGCAGTCAGTGGAGATGGATATGTGTGAAGAATGTATACTTGGAAAGCAGAAGAGAGTCAGCTTTCAGACAAGTGGCAGAACCCCCAGGAAGCAGAAGCTAGAGCTCGTTCACTCAGATGTTTGGGGACCAACAACCACCGCGTCCATTGGTGGAAAACACTACTTCGTGACTTTTATCGATGATCAATCTCGGAAAGTGTGGGTCTACTTTCTGAAGCATAAGTCTGAAGTATTTGAGGCTTTCAGGAGATGGAAAGCTATGGTCGAGAATGAGACCGGTCTGAGAATAAAAAGGCTCAGGACCGACAATAGCGGTGAATATGAAGACACCGGATTCAAGAAGTTCTGCTATGAGCACAGGATCAGAATGGAGAGAACCGTGCCCGGCACGCCTCAGCAAAATGGTGTAGCTGAGCGAATGAACCGAACGTTGACAGAGAGAGCCAGAAGCATTCGAGTACAATCAGGCCTACCGAAGCAGTTCTGGGCAGAAGCGGTCAACACAGCAGCTTACTTGATCAACCGAGGTCCATCGGTTCCATTGGAGCACAGAATACCAGAGGAGGTATGGTGCGGAGCTCAGGTACCTTACGCCTCAGCTATCGGAAGCTTGATGTACGCTATGGTCTGTACGAGACCAGACATTTGCCATACAGTGGGAGTGGTCAGGCGGTTTATGTCGAATCCAGGAAAAGCTCATTGGGAAGCGGTCAAATGGATTCTGAGATATCTACGAGGCGGTAAGGGAGAGGTAGAAGTGCAAGGGTACGTAGATGCAGACTTCGGCGGTGAAGTTGATCACCGAAGAAGCACCACCGGCTATGTATTCACCGTCGGAACTACAGCTGTTAGTTGGATGTCACAGGTACAGAAGATCGTTACCCTATCCACTACAGAAGCTGAGTATGTTGCAGTGACTGAAGCCAGTAAAGAGATGATATGGCTTCAGGGTTTGTTGACAGAGCTGGGATTCAAACAGGAGAAGAATGTTTTACACAGTGATAGCCAGAGTGCGATACACTTGGCGAAGAATTCCGCATTCCATTCTAGAACGAAGCATATTGCGCTTCAGTACCACTTCATCAGATCCCTGTTGGAAGATGACGTGTTGAAACTGGAAAAGATTCCAGGAAGCAAGAATCCAGCAGACATGTTAACAAAGACGGTGACAGTTCAGAAACTGGAGTTGTGCGCAACTTCAGTTGGCCTTCATGCATAGATGATGAGGGCAGAGCCACACAAGAGAGGAGCTTGATGAGATAGCCTGATTGACGTCGGTTTGGTTTCCAAGTGAGAGATTGTTAGTTTGGGGGTGGATACCAACCTCCATGTCCGGCGAGGAGCTCCGACGAGCTCTGAGATTATGCAGGCGAAAGCGTGCGAAGTCGACGGCACCCCCAGCGAGCTCCAAGCCCTCGCGAGCGAAAACTCCCTTGACCTCGGTGGTTGTC